TCGTAAAGGAATATGAAAATGACTACTTAATAAGAGGAAGCGGGCTTGATTAAGAAGGCATGTAGAAATATTCTCCATTTTATACTGATTATAATTGCTTCTTTCGCGCTGCATTATGATTATCATCTCAAACGTAATATTATGATTACCCCCACCCCCCTCCTCTGTTGGATATCTAATGATCTCTCCAAATGTGTATTACATTTATTATCTCCCCTGTTGTATAATGATTATTATATTTCCTGTTGTTTTATCAGTGTTTTCTCCTCTGTTGTTTAATTATTATTATTTTTTCTGTTGTATTACATTTATTATCTCACCTGTTGTATTATGACTGTTATTTTTTCTGTTGTTTTATCATTATTATCTCCCCTGTTGTAATATTATTATTATCTCCCCTGTTATTTATAAATAGTATCTCCCCTGTTGTAATATTATTATTATCTCCTCTGTTGTATGTTGACTATTTTTATCATTATTATCTTGCCTGTTGCATTATGAGTATTATCTTTTTTGTCGTTGTTTGATTATTATCTCCCCTGTTATCTATAAATAGTATCTCCCCTGTTGCAATATTATTATTATCTCCTCTTTTGTATTATTACTATTATCTTTTCTGTCGTTTTATGATTATTATATCCCCTCTTATTATATAAATATTTTCTCTAATACATAATTCTATAATAATAATGTTTAAAATACCATATCCTATTTTTGTTATCAAGTTAGGATTTGTCTTTGTCTATTTTCAAATTTATTTTCAATTTTATTTCTCTATCATGCATAAATTTTTATGAGTCGAAATATGCAAATCCGGTGTAATATGATTAACGTACGGAAAGTCAAATATGCTTCTATGTACTCCATAAAACCTCATCTGTCATATAATTCTTAAAGGAAATTTCATTTCATTCTAAAGCAAAAATCCACGAAACTTGATTTACATGTCAGCCGTAGTCGACAAAGCAAAGATGCTTATCATTCCGTACCACCTCGTCTTTTTTGCTCCTTGTACTTTTGAAAGATCTCAAAATCTGTTTGTCGTTTTCTTCAGTATAAGCAAAACAGCGTTGTTTTGTTGAATGTTGTTCTTTTATGAGAAGGATATCGGACAACCGTTTTAACAGAAATATTCCTTCACATGCATGTTTTCTTCATCAGTGTAGTGAGAGAGCTCGTAGGCGACCAGCTAGGCGATAGACCCACGTTTACATGAATGACTGTGACAATGCATACTACCACTAAATCAATGGCAGTCCGGTCATAACATCGCCTAATAAGTGAACCAGTTTAAATCCTGCAGACGCCTCATTGTTTTGCTAGTCAGTAAAGAATTACAGATTCGTCATTATTCTCTTTTTATATCTCATCATACGGTCTATTTTATCTTGATTAATGCTGGTGCAGCTAAATGATATTTTAATATTCAGAGAAAAAACGCTTTTGATACGAAAAAAGGTTAGGAAACTAGAGCAGCACGTTTTGGACAGTAATTAAACGAAAATAGGTTGAAGGTTGAAATCGAAATCCAATAACCAATATAAGGTTTCATCGCGTCAGATCCAGACATCGATGATCTTCCATTATCTATCCTTTTTGTACCACGAGCTAAAGTAGGTAAACCACGCATGCTAAACTATAATATATTACATATCTCACACTTCTTATATATGACGTCAGAATCGATCCTGTAGTATATTAGTCTATCTTTCACTTAAACATGTCATCATTATTGTTCCCATGTCAGACGAATTGCAAGTATGAAGGACACGTATGCAGGACACGTATGCATGACATGAATATCTCTAATACATGTCATCAGTATTGTTTCATAAAGTGACTTATATAGTACACAAGTATACTGTATGTGCACTTATCATAGCGCACTCCTATTTCAGCACATTTTCGAATTTAAATCAATGAGTGAGTTGATAAACTGTTGACCTGAAATTTTTTTAAAAGCGTGCAAAACGTTTGCTAAAATATGCCTGTTTACAGCATAACATTAATATAGTTCTTGGTGACTATAGATTACACCAATGCATGTAATCAGAAATGAACTTGGACAGTAACTAAGTAACGCATATTTAAACTAATACATGACAACAGTGTAGTTCCTGTAAACTGTACTACATCAGTCATTAAAATAGTGTAGTTCCTAGAAACTGTAATACACCAATACATGACATCAGTTTAGTCCTAGAAACTGTTCTACACCAATACATGAAAACAGTGTAGTTCCTAGAAATTGTACTTCACCAATACTAAAAACAGTTAAGTTCCTAGAAACTGTATTTTACCAATACATGACATCATTGCAATTCCTAGAATCTGTACTACACCAATTCATGACATCAGTGTAGTTCCTAGAAACTGTACTACATCAGTCATTAAAATAGTGTAGTTCCTAGAAACTGTACTACACCAATACATGACATCAGTTTAGTCCTAGAAACTGTTCTACACCAATACATGAAAACAGTGTAGTTCCTAGAAATTGTACTTCACCAATACTAAAAACAGTTAAGTTCCTAGAAACTGTATTTTACCAAAACATGACATCATTGCAATTCCTAGAAACTGTACTACACCAATGCATGACATCATTGCAATTCCTAGAAACTGTACTACACCAATACATGACATCAGTGTAGTTCCTAGAAACTGTACTACATCAGTCATTAAAATAGTGTAGTTCCTAGAAACTGTAATACACCAATACATGACATCAGTTTAGTCCTAGAAACTGTTCTACACCAATACATGAAAACAGTGTAGTTCCTAGAAATTGTACTTCACCAATACTAAAAACAGTTAAGTTCCTAGAAACTGTATTTTACCAATACATGACATCATTGCAATCCCTAGAAACTGTACTACACCAATACATGACATCATTGCAATTCCTAGAAACTGTACTACACCAATACATGATATCAGTGTAGTTCCTAGAAACTGTACTACATCAGTCATTAAAATAGTGTAGTTCCTAGAAACTGTACTACACCAATACATGACATCAGTTTAGTCCTAGAAACTGTTCTACAACAATACATGAAAACAGTGTAGTTCCTAGAAATTGTACTACACCAATACTAAAAACAGTGTAGTTCCTAGAAACTGTATTTTACCAATACATGACATCATTGCAATTCCTAGAAACTGTACTACATCAATACATGACATCAGTGTAGTTCCTAGAAACTGTACTACATCAGTCATTAAAATAGTGTAGTTCCTAGAAACTGGACTACACCAATACATGACATCAGTTAAGTTCCTAGAAACTGTATTTTACCAATACATGACATCATTGCAGTTCCTAGAAACTGTGCTACACCAATACATGACATCAGTTTAGTTCCTAGAAACTGTACTACACCAAAACATGACATCATTGCAATTCCTAGAAACTGAATTACACCAATAAATGACATTAGTGTAGTTCCTAGAAACTGTAATACACCAATACATGAAAACAGTGTAGTTCCTAGTAACTGTACTACAACAATACATGAAAACAGTGTAGTTCCTAGAAACTGTACTACACCAATACTAAAAACAGTGTAGTTCCTAGAAACTGTACTACACCAATACATGAAAACAGTGTAGTTCCTAAAAACTGTACTACACCAATACATGAAAATAGTGAAGTTCCTAAAAACAGTACTTTTCTTATACTCTTTATTAAGAATGTTTGTACCTGAAAGTACAGATATATTAGACTCTATATTTAAATACTTGTTTGCGTACCCCAAAAAATTCATTACATATTAAAGTTAATTGTTTCACACAAATACTAATGATGTTAATTACCGTACCTGCGTTCCTGTTAAAATTTAGATCGTGCCAGATACCTCACGAAGCAACTTCACGAGGATGGCGTCATTGCAAATGCAATAGTTCAATGGTTTACCATCCTTGAGTTGACTTTTTTTTATCACACAGTTACTAGAAAACTAGATATTTTCGCAATTGAAAATAAAATAAAATAAATATTTACAGTTCACATTCAACATGATTAAAATCTACTCCAACATATTGTCCAATCGGGCTTAAAATACTCACTGGTTAGGGATTATTTTTTTTGTCTGCAGTGCCAGTATATCAACTCTTTGACTTATATTTCAGTATAAATAAGGAAATAATATGACAAAACATATTGTAAAATAATTACAGCATATTCACTCCAAGGAACAATAAAACCGTATATAATGAGGAGACAGTTCCGATTTATTTCTTCGGTGTGCTTTCTTCGCCCATCCTAGTAGAGCATGTCTGACAATACCTTCCGCCAATTAGCTAGGTTTTATATTAAAGAGTCTTGACATGTCTGCATTCTAGGCTACTTGGTGTTTGTATCTCTGTATTATCATCTGGTGCAACACCTATCTAGATGGGAAATACCGTCAGAAAATCGTCCGCGTTTGTATAAAAAAGGCTTATGACGACTAACATTTGGAAAGTTCATACGAACGTGCTGTAGATAATAGGATATTAATTTAATACCAGGTAAGACGAGTAGTTAATACTATAGGCTGATTAGCATGTCGATACTCATCTTTGTTGAATCGTCGCCATAGGGATACTTTCGATGATTCCTTAGCATGTCGTAGGAAATATGCACGTGATTTAAATTGCGTGGAGATGTATTCAATTAACTACTTGATTTTGTTATCATATCATCTAACTATGACAATCGTATTTGAAACAATGCTGACCTTTTAAGCTGCCACAAGCTTAAACTAAGCATGTATATAAAGTGGGCGAGCGCCTGCTTGGTTGTAGCCCGAACGTGCCCTGGACATATAGCTAATTAAACAGACCAATAATGAATTTCATTGGACTGTAAGAAAGCGTTAGGATGCCAAATATAGCTTATAATAGCAATTTATATGTCAGTTATTTCCCTTTCTTTAGATTTAATTTTTTTTTTGTTAAAACCAATCATTTAATATATTTGTCAATAAGTATACAAATTAAAACTACGTAAGACTTACCCGCAGCTGAAAGTCCGATCAGAACAAGGCCTCATGGAAGTTTCTTTAAACCTTCGGTCGAACAAGTTTCGTTTGTGTGATGAAAGGTAGTGCATACATGTCCATACCATATATATATCTCCGTTAATTAAGACCAATTGGCCCCAGATAGAATCACTTGACATACTGACCCTCTCGCAGTGGCCCTTTGAGACGGGGACAGTGCGCCAGTGCGCTCATCGCCTTTCGGACGAACCTTTGCATGCTTCCAAATTGTTGGCTTGCACTGGGGGCTAGCGCTAAACGACAAGCATAATCAATTATTACATAGTCATATTCCTCACCCCCGCAATTCTGCCTCATAGTGGCTGTCTGTCTCCTCTCAAGCACGACCTTCGTACCATACATTATCAGTAATAGGGACCAGTAGAGCTTCGGCATAATGCCCAACTCAATAGGGCTGGGTTTGAACGCTTACAGCTTGTCTTCTTCTCAGACGGAGGCACGTTAAACAATAGCGTGTTTTCCCCTTAACTCACTATTTACATATTTTATAAATAACTAAGACAGTAAAACCTTTAAAGATGCATTGTGGTATGATACAACACAATGCAGTTATAGAGAATAAACATGTTATATCAATAGACAAAATAGAAATTATATATCAGAAATTATTAGATATAAATGGAAAACGTAAAGCTTTGTAAAGTTTAAATAGAATAGTAGTTTCCACAAATATTCGGACAATGTTTGGTAATAAGTGGAACGATAATGTGCTATTTCCTTATAAAGATATATCTACAACATGTATTCGAAACTTGTAAAAAAAATGGGTCATATGATTTGTACATTTTTGCTGAAATGATTCTATCACATACAGACGCCTTACATAAACGTCTTAGAACCAAAACGTAACAATGCGCTCGACTACTAAATGAGTTTTGTTCGTCTCACAAGTAGGTCATTGGTGTCCTGTGTCCTCATCTATCACCATGTTTTTCTTAATTAAAAGGAAAACAATCAGTATTACTGATCTACGGCTTGAACCGAGTTAATAAGAAAAAAATAAAAAATAAATGTAATTCTTTTTTTTTTATTATAAACGATCCGATTGGATAGAAGCTGCGTAAATCATTTTCGGGAACTCCTTCCTGGTCCGTGACGTCACGAGAGTCACGCGATCACAGAACTCACAAGTATCGCACTTGTCAAACTAACAACTGTAGAAGAAAGGACAAAGAGGTCATGATTTGAATAAATGCCTCTTTTCTAAAGTGTATAGATGCCTAACGGAATCCTTTGTTATTAACAACCACAATGGACTTTGAACTTTGAGAAATGACGTAACTTTGAATATTGAGAGTGTTCCAAGCCGTAGCCAGACTTTCCGTTTGGTTTGAAGTAGTCGTGGACAACAGTGACACCAAAGACGGGGTATAGAGTATTGTAATGGGGCAAACAATCATTTCAGGGTTGTTTTATCTGCTATCAGCATCTTATGTATTCACTCTACTGTGATAAATAAAAGACTTCAAATTATTCCTTTTTACGTAGTCTTAATGCTTCGACATGTGATGTTTTCACAGGCGCCAAGTTTGTCTTCACTTCTTCGATGTAGTAAACAAACTTCATCGAACATCCAATCTTGCATGTTTGAAAGACCGAATCAATATATCACAAACTGGGAGTGTTCTTTCAAATGCATTGACTGATTTATACGGTATAATGTATATATATATTGTATTGTAAGCTCCAGGCTCATGTAGAGGCGAAAAGTCTATTTTTACACACAACTACTTAACAGGCATAAAGGAACATCATTAAGTTCCTATTAAGTGCCTGTCCTATGCTTGTACTCATTGACGTTGTCACTAGTGTAGTGTTATCATTTACGGTTATAAGAACCATCCATTTAAAATACATTATTGCGATTTTTCAAGTATTCAAGTTTAATGACACCATGTGGGGCACTGTACAAAAATGTCGTTAGAAAGAAAAACACATAAAACATAGATTTGGTACCCATCTCCACTGCCGATACATTTGCCAGAATTTAGATTGCACAGCATTTAAATGACAAGAAGAATACATTTGCTTTACCTTATACATACACGGGGTTTTACAGCTCTGAGCAGAAACTCACTTCGCCGTTAATATAGGTAACATTGTACATGATCGTAAGATCATTTTATTGATAACTTCGAAAAATACCTTATCGTCTCTGCACCTTTGTGATGTTAGAGACAGAGGTAATATTTATGTGAGCAAAGCTAACGCCAAGGTCGCTTTGTGCTGCATCATGTTTTGGTAAATGTTACTTTCATATCACAATAGCATTAAGTTTGAAATAATTCACATTTCAAGCAGAATATTCCTGTTACTGGCAAATCCATTATTATGACAGAGATTAATTATATGAACGTGACACCTAATCCGGATATTTACGTTGCTGACGCTTCTCTAATTACAAGTGATAGGATATATGTTCATAATACGAATACGTTGACCATCGGCTAAGTAATAAGGTAGTAATTGGACGGAAGCGTGGGCGGTGATACACCATCCGTTATCTAATGTAAATTACTGCTATTGTTAGGTTCAGATACGTGCTGTGTTTTCCGATATAATCAATGTCTTTAACATAACAAATAGGATAGAGGTACGCATGTTGGGCAGATTTAATGGACTTTTATGAATTAAACCATCTGTTGACGTCATTTTCATTAAGACTAAGGGTGAGCGTTCATGATGAAATGCAAGTTTAAAAAACCCCATCATTAATCTCTTCAAAAGCAGGTCTGTATTTGTGGAAATATATTGATGAAAAAATCCCTAAATATCTTCATAAGAAATTAGTTTTGCTTTTTTTTACCTTTTTTATTTCACTAACTTCAGTTACAAATGAAAAATGTTTGTCAGTCATTTTCTTAAGAAATGTTATTATCAGTTATGTGTCTTAGCATTAGCTACAGTGGTATAATAGTTGTTATATTGCTTGTTTAGATAAACTGAAATTCTACATACATTTATCTTACAGTTCAAAATTATTACTAAGTAACCATTTACATGTATACTTTAAAACGAATGATCTGATTCGTCATTGATGTCTGATCCATCTTCATGACCTAAATACTCATTGGATGATATCAAATCAAATAATTTATATAAATGTTTCAGTTATGAATCTCAGATATAGATCGGTTTCCAAATTTAAGATAAATTAATATAAGATTTTGAAATAGTATGATTTAAGTAATTTTTCGTAATTGTGATTTTTTGCCTTCAGTATTAACGTGATAAAATTTAATGTGAGCCCTGTTAAAAAAGATCGATTATAAGTTATATATAAATATAAGAGATTGTCCAGCCAAATATTATATATATCTATAATACTGATCAGTATATAAAGATATATCTTCCGTTGTTAGTGTAGAGTAAATGTACCGCTCACTCAACCGATTCGATAGATTTTAAGTAAGACTCAATTCACAGTTTTTCTATATTTTGATAAGATTTTAATTTATATTTTTGATAAGTTGTAAGTAACACTCATTCTACAGTTCTGGTATATATATATATAGTTGTTTGATATGTTTTATAAGAAATACCACCCATTTTTAGTTGTTTATCATATTGTAAGTACCGCTCATTTCAAGTTTTTAGCTCACCTGTCCGAATGGCAAGTGAGATTGTGCCGTGGCGCGGCGTCTATCGTCCGTCCGTCCATCGGCCGTCATTATCCGGCGTCAATATTTTACTTTAAACAACATCTTCTCAATAGCCAAAAGACCTAGGGTGATGATATTTGGCCAGAAGCAAACTGGGATAAATGACCTTCATCTATATTCAAGGTCACAGGGCTCAAATATGTAGTAAACACATTAAACAACTTCTTCTGAATAACAAAAATACCCAGGGTGATGATATTTGACCAGGAGTATGCTGGGATAAAGGGCTACCAAATTGTTCAAATGAATGACCTTGACTTATATTCAAGTTCACATGGGTTGAATATGTTAAAAACATTTAAAACAACTTCTTCTGAATAACCAAATGGTCTAGGATGATGATATTTTGCCAGTAGCATGCTGGGATAAAGGGCTACCAAGTTTGATTAAATGAATGACCTTGGCTTATATTAAAGGTCACAGGGTTCAAATATGTAAAAAGAAAAAAAATCTTTTGAATAACCAAGAGGCCTAGGGTGATGAGATCTGGCCAGTAACATGCTGGGATGAAGGGCTACCAAGTTTGTTGAAATGAATAACCTTTACTTATATTCAAGGTCACAGGGTTCAAATATGATCAAAACCTTTAATGAAAATTCTTCTGATTTACCAAAAGGTCTACGTTGATTGTATTTGGCCAGTGACATGCTGGAATGAAGGACTACCGAGTTTGTCCAAATGAATGATCTTTTTCCCTTTTCCAGGTCGCAGGGGTCAAATATGTTTAAAACCTTTAAGCAACTTTTTCTGAATAACCAAGAAGCCTAGGATAATGATATTTGGCCAGTAACATGCTGGGATGAATGGCTATTACTTATATTCAAAGTCACAGTGGTCAAATATGTTTAAAACCTTTAAACAACTTTTTCTGAATAACCAAGAGGCCTCGGATAATGATATTTGGCCAGTTACATGATGGGATGAAGGACCACCAAGTTTGTTCAAATGAATGACCTTGACGTATATTCAAAGTCACATGGGTCAAATATGTTTGAAACCTTTAAACGTCTTCTTCTCAATAAGCAAAAGGACAAGGGTGATGCTATTTGGCCATTAACATGCTGGGATGAAGGACTACTAAGGTTGTTCAAATGAATGACCTTCGCCAATATTCAAGGTCACAGCGGTCAATTTATGTTTAAATCTTTAAATGAGTTGTACTGTGTATCCAAAAGGTCCAGGGTAATGATATTTTACCAGAAGCTTGCTGGGTTGGAAGACTATAAACTCTGTTCAACCTAATGTCCTTGTTCGACATTCAAGGTCACAGGCGTCATATGTTTAAATCTTTTAATAGGTTCTTATGAATAACCACTGACAGTCTGCTTGTAGCTGTATTTTAGTCCACTGTTAAGATTACAAGTGTGAGATTAATACTAGGTGAGCGATTCAGGCCCATTGGGCCTCTTGTTTGTTATGTTATACTCCAGTTCAGATCACTCTATACGTATATTGTATTTTAAGTATCGCTTACTCTACATTCTATTTAATTGTTGTAATCAACCGCATTACGTAACAATGCGGAGGTATATGATACTAATATATTAAGA